AGTCTCTCTTTATAGAACCAGAGCTTTCTTTACCCATTAAAATTTGCCAAAAAAAAAAAAGGTTGACTTTTCAACGACTGTTTTTCTCCCTATTATTTTTCATGTAGTTTGACACAGTTAAGCTTTTTGCCTCTGCTTTTTCTTTCACCTCCTCTTTCTCCTCTCTTTTCACTCATTCCTGTCTTACTGCCCTTTTCCATTTTGCTTCTGAAGACAGACGATGGGGGGAAGGGGGAACCGAAAACCCAAACACCAAATTTCTTTGTACCAACCTGGGGTTAAATGAATACTTTTTTTAAAAAACCAAAACAAAAAACCCAAAAAAACCCCAAAAGCCTCAGGATGAAAGCCCATTCATCCTCACTGGGACCTGGGGGAACTTACCATCTTGCAGGATGAGCTCAGCGCTTTGCAAAATTATCTAAACAGCGGGTACAATACAAGGTGGGTCCCAGCCAGAACTCCGGATATCAGCACTTTCCATCCCTGGAGGGGAGTTCGGATTTCGACATCGGGGCTTGTTCCTTGCTGTTAGAACTGGAAGCCGAACACCCCCCAACATCAGCAAGGTTCAAGCCCAAGGGCACACGTCTCCGATCAGACTCCGCCGATAAGGGACAAGCGGTCCTGGGACAGAAGATCTCAGTGCCCGGGAGGCAGAACAGTCAAAAAAAAATTTCTTTTATTTTAAAGAAATCAAACCATCTTCAGGACCAGCGCAAGGGCACTTGGAAAGCCCTTTGCTGTCACTGTCGATAAAGACGAAGCCTTTTGGTGCAGAATTCCTCCATGTCGACTGCAGGGAGCAGTACACTTTGGCTACACTTCTCGACAAGGGTGCCTAAAAGGAGACTTGTAATGTTCTTTCTGGGGCTCAGGAGCACGAAGCAAACAGAACTCACGGCCACGAGAGCTGGGCATCACCACAGCCCCCTTTAAAGGCTAAACTCAAGCAGCCAGGCTCTCTCCAGCCCAGCCTCAAAGCCTGTCCCAGCTCAGCCCACAGCAAAGGGGAAGAGTTGCTCAATTCTTCGCATTCCAGGGACAAGAGCAGAAGCCCAACAGAGCAGCATCTTAAAACAAGAGGAAAAGGAGCACTTGCCTAGCAACAATGGCTGGGATCAGCATGTTCGTCTCTGCTAGCATCTGCAGGTGTTTCTCTCCAGCTGCAGATGTATCACAGAACAGACAAGAAGAGCGAAAAGATTTGGCCCAGAAATCATTCCATGGTTCTACCGTTTATCCCCTGCCATTCTCTTTCCATCCCACCACAGGCCTTCCGAACTTGCTTTCCATGAACATTCAGGAGATCACCGGGAAGGTCAGCGAAAGCAGTTCAGAGCAAGTATCAGACAGCATTTCAAGAGCTAAATTTGCACTGAAATAATCACATGGAAAAACAAGATGCTAAGATTGCTACTCGTCCAAAAGAGGAACAAAAACATCTTCAGTGTCTTACGGACTCATTAAAAACTAGCCCAGACAGCTAGAGTATTGCATTTTTACCCAGACTGACTCATAAGTGATTAGAATGGGATTAAGGGGGAAAAAAAGAAAACAAACCTCACTGGAACTGTTCCCACTGCAAAGTGGAGATTGAGTCAGAAACAATTATTTTCATCTGGGAAGTGGGAAATGTCATTTTGTAAAAATTACTTTACTCTTTGCTAGAAAAAGATCGACTTTGCTTTGCTTGTGATTTAGAAATGTATCTTTACAATTTTTTGAAATTATGTATTTTCCTATTTCCCCCTTTCATTGGACAGCACAGAAACACCACACACCACTTCTTATTTCAGGGCAAGAAAGCAGGGGTTTTTTTCCTGTTTCTACTTTTCTCCCCTCACCACCATGTAAATATATCAAAATTCCTCAAATTAGACAAATCCACCAGGTGCTAAAGGCAAAAAAAAAACCCCACACACCACCCCACAAAACCCACACACATTATTCATTTTATAGAACACATTTTGGTTGAAAGAAAGGCTATATACAGCCATTTCCAAATGCTAGGTGTAAAATACACCCCTAAAAGTTTTGGGTTTTTTTTAAATTCACTAGAAGATACTTCCACTTTGAACTCAGAGAAGTTAAAGTATCTCTGATGTCTTCCCTGACAGTCAGCTTTATGTTTCTGGAACGATCTGCACACGAAATTTGATTTAATGAACTATTCAGTCTTCCAAATAAAGCAGACTTTTGCAGACTTTTTTGCAATCTGGCGGTGAAACTCATTAGACAAATTATTTCCAGTAAATTGCTCCCTTCACCCTCACTGAGTAGTACTGCATTTAAGACTTGTGGAAACATTTTATTCCGAGATAAGAGTGCTGTTGCTACTATCCAAGAACAATAGAGGACGATTATGGATTTCATAGAGCATCTAATCTAATTCCTGTATAAACAGGCCATAGGCCTTTTTTAAATTAAATGCCATTTTAAGTCCAGTAGATCCGGTTGAACTAAAGCACAGTTCTGGAAAGAAAAAAAAAAGACATCCGCAGATAAAGAATGTGCAACACATACTGTATCATAGCTGCGGCCAAGAGCCAGAACCCTGCCCCACCACCCTCGCCTCTCGCTGCGCCTGTCGTGAGCACCTCAGGGCTCAGGGGAAAGAACAATGCTTCAAAGACAAATTTTGACCCGTTTCAACGGCAGAGGAAAGACTCTGTAGCTCACAGCCTGTGTTTTCAATACGACAGGCAAGAGGGAAATCTTTTATCCCATTTCCGTCTCTCTGTGCCGGAAAAAAAGAGCTAAGTGGCGTCAAATGCCTGGGATTTTCAAAGTTTCTTGCAAACGAGCATTGCCCAGCTCTGGTGAATTTGTTTTAGGTTTAGGTGCAGACCCGTAGATGCACTTAAACCTGTAGATGCTTTTTCAGAGTTGATTACTGCATATTAAACACACAGCGAGTGGAGCCACGTCCCACCCTGGCTTCGCTGAAGTCAGCTGGAGTTTCGCCACGGAAGCGTTACCTGATGCAGATGCACGTGCCAACGCAGAGCTAACACGGAGGTGGAGGCCTTCCAAACACCATTGAGCAAGAAACTGGGGGAAAAAAGAAATCTTTTCCCCCACTCAACACTCCTTGGATAAGTCACTTGAGAATCTATGTACGTGAGTCATTACCACCACCCCAAAAAAAAAACGTTATTAAGAAATCATCTTCCCAGGTTCACAAAGACCCGTTTATTGAGTGTCCAGCCATAACTGCGGGATGGGAGGTGACGGAACATAGCTCAAACACCAGGGCTCTCATTCTGACACGTTCATCAGCACCCAGTGACAAGGCAGCATTAAGAACACCCCTCACCTACCTTGGCACAGCGCTCGCTGCAGAGCAGCGCTGCGGGAAGTCTGACGACTGTCCCGCTTTCTCCAGGGTTTGTTAGAATAGAAAAACCTAGCCCAGAACAAGTCTCTGTCTAGCATTCTGAAAGACAAACAACAACAACAGTTTTATTTATATATTTAATTTTTAATTAAAAACTAAAGGTCATCTTAATACATCTCTTGCAGCCTTTGGGCAAAATGCACCCTTAACAAGACTTTATGAAAACATGATGCACATCTATTCTTGGCACACCTCTTAAACACGAACTTTCTGCAGCAACTTCTGAAATCCATCATCCTCCCAAAACCCTGAAAACATTTAAATGCTCTTTAAAAAAAACCCTACAAAAATTAGAAGTGGGCCCGAAGCAAAACTCCCAGATCCAAAGCATCCCAAAGCTTTTGGAGCAGACTCAAATCCAAACCCTCATCTCATGCAGAGTTTTATCCGGGATCACTGCAAATTCACAGACACGGCACCCAAACAACCAAGAGAGACGAAATCTGAAAACGCTGACCCGGGTACGAATCTCGCTTCGGAAGCTTTGATATTACACTGGGCCAAAGCAAATCTATGGGTCTGAACTCCTTCCTAAAACTGTTTAAGTTGGGCCCATCCCTAACAGAAATAAGTGCTGGTGACATGACGAAATGGTGCTATCAGAGCTCCCCATTTCTTCGCTGTCCCTGATCTGAGACCAGACCAAGCACTCCGTCCGTTTGCGCTACTTAAAAAGGCAAGGATCAAGTCAGGCGAACACACTGAACCCTCCAACGCAGCCGTACCACTGCACGCTCGCCTCCCGCAGCGTGGAAGCAGCCCTCCACTTCTCCTTTG